CATCATTATTTCATGGTGTTCCATATTCACCATAAACTTCCATTCTTTCATGTGTTTATTACAGTTCAAGTGTAAATTTAACTGTAAAATTTATATAAAAATATTTATCTTTTCTACTTTTATACCTGTACTTTTGAATTCTCATTAAGGATAACACTTGATTTTTCAAATTAAAATGACCTCTTATTCATTTGGTATTTCAGTGTCAGAAATATTACTGACATTCTTTTTGTAATCCAAAGCTATAATTTTAAAATTTCACAGATCTCCTCAAGTCAACTATATCATTATACCCTCTTTTGTTTAAATTTTATTTTATTTTTGAGTAATTGTAAATTCACATGCAGTTGTATGAAATAATTCAGAGAGATCCTATGCACACTTTACACATTTTCCCAATGCTAACATCTTACAAGACTATAGCACAGAATCATAACCAGATTACTGGCATGATATAGTCAAGATACCAAATATTTCATCACCATAGCCAACCTTCATGCTGCCCTTTTATTGCCACTCCCACTTTCCTTCAACTTCCATCTCCTTCATAACCCTTGGAAACCACTTACACATTCTTCATTTTTATAATTTAATCAAGTCTAGAATAGGACTCTGCCTTTCTTTTACATTCAAAGGAATGAAAAAGAGTGATGGTTATAAGGAGATGTGTGTCCTCACTTTCTATTCATATACATAAACTTATTTATCTCTAGATTTAACATAAAATTATTCCTTTCAATCTCAAAGGGCAATTGTAATGTTTATTCAAGGAGCAGTTCATCTTCACATTTGAATAAATTCCTTGTAATATTATCTGAATCAATATAGTCCTTCCCTCTGCTTTTTCTCTTGCTTACATATTAATTTTATTTTAATTAGGAAATATTTCAAGCACTCCAAAATGTAGAAAATAAAACAAACTTCCATATATTTTTCTCCTTAGCTTTATTAAATTATAATATTTTGCTACATTTGATTTGGAATTTTCTAAGTAAAAAATATTTCAATAAGGGCAAAATTTTCTTCATATATATACCACTCCCGTCCCCAACATATCTACAACCCAAAAGAACTAATAAATTTGATGGAGACATCTTTGTTTGGAGAAATTAAAGGAGTATATTCCCTGAAGATCTGAATGTGGTACAAGATGTCTCTTGGACCAAGATTTTTAGTGTCTGTGGTGTGCCATAAATATCTAAGGAGCTAAGACAACAGAAGAGCTAGCTCTGTGTTCTGAGTCTCTAACATGCATCCTTCTGGAGAGCTGGCAAAGACCAACAACAATTAGCAACAACCAGCTCTTTCTGTCACATGCCCGTCTAATGCTGCTGTTAGAGCCTATGCCACAGAGACTTGACATGCACTCCAGGGACTTCCAGGACCAGGGCTTTATAAACCTACTCACTTGGCATTATTATTTTCAAGGCAGAGAGCCTCACAAGGCTCCAGCTGTACCGCCATCCACAGAGTTTGTATCCTTGTTCTGGGGTATGGTGAGTGATGGAAATGCCTTAGCCTAGGCTATGTTATATTAAGAAGTCTTTTCTATGGCCTTTGTGGGATCTATACTTGGGCTGAAAGGCAATTGAAGTTATGAGCCATCTGAAATATAGTTTCAAACTCTATATGAGGATCTCTGAGTTCAAAAAGACACTTGGTAGAGGTATAAAGCATTTCTGCTCCTCATAGAAAAAGGAACCCTAGTAACACAGTAGTTAAGTGCTTGGCTGCTAACCAAAAGATTGGCAGTTCAAACCCACAAAAGTGGGGCAATTCTGCTTCTGTAAAGATTTGCAGCCTTGCAAATTCTATAGGATAGTTCAACTGTACATAATATATTCTACATTTTTGGAAAACAATCCCTCTTTCTTCAACCAATAATCACTCAGTTGTTTCCCTTAAACATTAAGATCAACTGCAAATCAAATTACACTTGTAAGTGACACATATTAGATACTTGGAGCTCTGGTAGCATAGTGCCTAAGGCACTTGACTACTAACCAGAAGGCTGGTGGTTCAAACCCACCTGCCACTCCTCGGAAGGAAGGTTAGGCAATCTACTTCCATAGTGATACTGTCTCAGAAACCCGAGGAGGAGTCGCTATGAGTTGGATCTGACTTGATGGCACATAACAACAACAATTGGTGCAGGAAAGGAGAGAGAGGAAGGATGAAAGGATGTGAGGTGAGGAAGGGAGGAAAGTAGGAAGAATAGAAATACAGAAGGAACAATGGACACAAAGGCTAAAGGAAAAATAGATCAAAGGAAGAAAATAAAAGGAAGTAAAGGAGGAAGAAGGGAAGTGAGGATGTAGAGACGTTGAAAAGAAAGGAAGATTAGTGAAAGTATGATTTCTGATTCTCACACAACTTTCTAATAGAAACAACATCATATATTTGCAAATGAAGCCCTAGGATGAAGATTTATATGAAGTCCTTGTCTTGGATAATTTGAGGAACTGATAATATTTAGCATAGGTTATAAGATTATTTTAAAAAGCATCATAACTGTGTATTCAGTCTCTAAAGAACAGATATGTCTTAGTTTGAGTAGTGCTATTCAGGACAGTACAAGAAACAACAAGATTCTATTTTTGTAACTTTTGAATTACCACCAGAGAATTTATATATATATATATATATATACCAAAGAACCAGCTAGGATACAGGCAAAAATAGCAACTTATATCTCAAAATTTTGTACATTTTTTATAAGACTCCTGCAATTCTTAAATGTTATAAAATATTCTATAAATATCAAGAATTAGTTCTCTACCTCCTTAGAGCTTATGACAGGAGAGTCAGGGAGGAAATCATTAGAAGGGAGAAGAAAGAATCAACTTGTATCCAAATGCTAGCCTTTTTACTGCCTTTTATTCCTTGATAACTCCATTAATTTTATTTTTAGAATTTCTGTGTGGACAAATACACACATTTTTTAAAGTGAGTCTCTGCTCCTTGTGCAAATGCTTACAAAATTGTGTAACTACTCCTTACTACACTCTGTTGTGAGCTGTCACTGAATTAGCCTGATGAATTATCGTGATCCCAAATGGTGTCCAGTCCTGTGGACTTCATCCAATCATGATTCAGTCCTTCAGAACTGGTTTCAAATTGGACTGTTCTGTCACACTGGCTGATTTTTGGTTGTAGATCACCAGGCCTTTCACCTTAGTTTGTCTTAGTGTAGATGCTTCACTGAAACCTGTTCAGAATCATTGCAACATATAATAAATACTCCACTCACAGATGGGTGGTAGCTATGCATGAGGTGCACTGGTAGCTAGTCCAACCCACTCTCTCATATGGGAGGTGAGAATTTTATCACTGAACAATTAATGTCCCCAATAAAAACTAAACATACAAAAATAATTCTAAGGCCTTGAGAACAGAGTGAATCTCCTGTTGGCTGACCGTATCAGACAAGGATATAGGTTGGAGTGTTTTAACACTGCTAAATCTCCAGACACTTGATATTATGTGTGGGCATAGAACAATTCTCCAACATGCAACACATACACACAAGGCATTGCAGGAACGTAAATTTCTTTCATTCATTACTCAGACATAACAATAGAATGAGCTGTCTTCTGAAACATAGGATTCTTTATTCTTTTCAGGAATGTAGTAGAGTCATTTTAAAGGAATTGAATAAGATGACTTTTAAAAATGTCCAAATCTGTTTCTATGAATTTTATTGGGGAAAATTCAAAGAAAGTACATAGTTTTTCCTTCCACTCCCTACCCCAACTCCCTTGTGACTGAAGACTTATTGTGTAAAGTGAATATTGGAGAAATTATTCCCCATCTATTTAATTTCAATTGGTGGGAAGCATCAGAAGAAAGAACTTGGCAAAAATCTGTTTCCAGTCTTTGCTTGATTCTTCCTATTATGTTCTTAAACAATCAGCAGCATGTCTTGGACCCTACAGATGCCTCTCTCTTACCATCATCAAGCCATACAACTAACACTGGTGAAGCCCTGTACTGATAACTATGCTTTATCAGAATTTGGTTGTATGTGCACAATGACCTTTCCCCAGAGTCCAGCAATGTCCGGGCACCTACAGGACATCTAATTATGCTAAAGGAATTACTTCACACCATTCACAGAATGTAAGGTTGCTGCTATTTTTCTTTTCCTGTGCTTCTCTTTCAGGCATTGCCCTACATCCCTGGTGTCTCTGCTTCTGCCTCCTCAGCCTTTTAATTTGTGGGCCTCTTTCTTTTGGGTAGACAGTAGTTTGTGTTTCTGATGTGATTATGGTCTAATGTAGATCAACACGTATACTTGGGCAGCTTCAGGTATATGAGTTAATCCTCTACTCTCCGTCTAAGCTAAATAGCCTGAGACTAGAAAGTGACCTTTTCTGACATACCTAGAAGTTGAGGTGAAAAGAATTTGAAGTAATGGCAATTGTTCTACAGGTCACAGCTACCACATAATGGACTTCCCAGGAAGATATTGAAGTTTTCATCATGAAAGGAAGTTTTTTAAGATATTGAGAAGATGCTGGTGACAAGTGGGAGGAGATGATAGGAAAATTTTGTGAATGAATACCTCTTTGCTTTGTTTACAATTTCTCCAGAACAAGCCCTTCCCAGAATTACTATGACAGTTCTTAACAAAAGTAATGCCAGCAGCTTTTTTTTCATATTGATGGATCTCCCTGGGCTGGAGAGTGCTCATTGCTGGACAGCTATTCCTATCTGCTCTATCTATGTTCTTTCTGTGCTTGGCAATGTCATCATCATGTACATTGTCAAGTCTGTGCCTAGTCTCCACACGCCCATGTACCTCTTCCTCTCCATGCTCTCAATGGCTGACCTAGGCCTGTCAGCTTCCACACTGCCTTCCATGGCAGCTGTCTTTCTCCTGGGTCAGAGAAGGATGGAAGCTGCAACTTGCTTTGTGCAACTCTTCTTCATTCACACTTTCTCAGTCATTGAGTCAGCTGTTCTACTGGCTATGGCTTTTGACCGCTGTGTGGCTATCCGAGAGCCTTTGCGTTATGCCACCATTCTGACAACCAAGCGTATTGGGGCTATTGGTCTGGCAATTGTGACCCGTAGTGCTGCCCTCCATCTGCCCCTGTCTGTGCTCCTCAGACGTCTGCAATTCCAGCCTGTGAGTGCTCTGGCTCATTCCTACTGTGTTCATCCTGATGTTCTAAGGCTGGCCACATCCAGAACTCGTGTGAACAGTGGTTTAGGACTCTTTGTAATGCTCTCCACTCTGGGGCTAGATGCTATGCTCATTCTCCTGTCTTATGTGCTGATCTTGAAGACAGTGCTGAGCATTGCTTCCAATGCTGAGAGGTTTAAGGCCTTCAACACCTGCATTTCCCATATCTGTGCTGTACTATTATTTTATACACCATTAGTCAGCCTGTCTATGATCCATCGTTTTGGGAAGAAGCTTCCAGCACAGGTATATATGCTTCTCTCCTATCTGCACTTTCTTGTTCCTCCAATGCTCAACCCAATTGTCTACAGTGTCAAAACCAAAGAGATTCGAGTACGCGTTCTGAAGATGCTCCACTGCAAAAAGTTCTGAGTTATTGGGATACAAGAGTGGTAGTGATATCTCAATCTTACAGAAAGACTGCTGACTGAAGAAATCTCAGACATGAGGAAGAGTGTACATTCCATTCTATTTATCAGTCAATTGATTATTCAAAATCACTAACCTTGTGGGTTTTCCCTGTTATCAAAACAATCGCTACTAATGGAGGAAGAAATATATTTCTTATTCAGTAAATGATACAATCAGCCAGTAAAAACTCAGGCTATTGTAGGGAAAGCTGGTATGCACAATAAATACAGGCTGTATTCCATTGGAAAGTATGAACCAAATAAAAACCATTTCAAAATGTATAAATGTATTTAAACAAGTAAAGATTTTAATAACTGCCATGGAATGTCTTACATCATATGTATTATGCAATTCTGTATTATTTTAAGCTCCACGACATATGAGAGGTGGGTGGACAGAGCCTCCAATAATCTCTTACTCATTGAATAAAAATTAAAGCCCTTCTACTCTTTTTCTAATAAATACATTGAAAATTCTGTGCCCTTGTTAACCACAATGAGATTGTATACTTTTTGAGTGATAGACTCCATATCCAACTCAATTTTCTTTCAATATTTTTTAGAAGATTAAAAAATACATAAACAATTATGCATATCTTACACTATTCTTATTATGGTCAGTGACATCATAATTGTCTTAGAAAATGGGCTCAAAATATTTTTCTGCCTAATACTGGCTATTATTTAAAATTTCACCTAATGTACTTTATTTTTATTTATTTATGTATACACATTTCTTCTCTATTCCTGCACTTTCACTGTTAAGGCCATGTTTCTTATTCTGCTCCAGGCTTTTGGAACACACTTCTAGAGGGAATCTCAGCTGTCTCTCTCCCTCCACTCCAATCCATCTTGCTGCTTTATAAATATTATTTATTTAACAAAAATAGATTTTACTAGGTACCAGAAATATAATTATAGCTATCATGAATTAAAGATTTATTAATGAAGAATAACATAAAATGTGTAATTAAGAATCATACAATTGCATAACACCAAAACAAAACCAAACCCATTATATTGAGCTTGTTTTGACTCATAGTGACACCCCACCCCCATTGGGTTTCAGAGGCGGTAAATCTTTACAGAAATAGATTGCCCTATTTTCCTTCTGCCTAGTGGCTGGTGGGTTTGAACTATCAACCTTCTGGTTAGCAGTCAAATGCCTTGGGCACTGAGCCACCAGAGCTCCTTCAGTTGTATAACAGTAAATAGAAAATGAAAACTCAGCGTTGTATGTAAGAATTCACCTTGATGTCAACATCAGCAAAGACTTCTCTAAGAAATTAAAGTTTGAATTTTGATAGTATGATGCATTCTATAAAACAGTGGTAACTACTAGAGATAAGGTAATATTTTTGAATGAAGAAGTCAATTACTAGTACAGGGAACAAAGCCTTTAGCTTGACATTTGAAGCACTGAATCTTTTAGTCATACTTACTTTTCCAGTCATTGCACTTCCTCTATCGTATTTTTCCATCATGTCTCTAAGCCCCTGTTCTGGTTACCCAGTGCTGCTCTGACAAGAATATACCACAAATGGGATGGCCTTAACAAACAGTTTATTCTTACAATTTGAGGGCTTTAAGTCCAAGTTCAAATGAGCCAGGATCTAATGGCTATGTGAAAGCCCCTCAACTTTTTGGGCTTTAGGTCTGCCTCTTGCTCCCAGCCCACTGAAGCTAGAGGCATCTCTTCATTCAGGCAGCTAGTGGTTGCTGAGCTTGACAAGCCCAAGGTTAACAAGTAAAATGGCACAGTCCTGATGTTACCAAACCATGTGGCAGGCTGTGGATTCAAGTCCCAGGATCAGCAGAGCATGGCAGGCTGCTGAACGAGTCAGCTACATGAGGGTTCAAGCATGCCATAAGCTAGAGGCCATTCCCAAAGCTGTTTCTTATATACGGGAAGTCAACCACATACCCAAAGGCAGCTGCTCATAATAGATTCTTTCATGGAGTTGATTGCCAGTCTCATCATGGGGAATACTACATCCAGCTGCCCAGCCACTCAACCAGGCCTAGCCAAGTTGACACACGAACTTAACCACCACAGCCCATAATGCACTAGTTTATTTTATCTACACTGAGATTTTAATTTCTTATTTGTGCTTTTTGCTCCTCTTGGTTTTTTTTGTCAATGTTACTCTCTTGAAACCCTGAACTTATATATTTATTTATTTTTAATAAACAGGTCTAATGACTCTTTTTCTCATTCTCCTAGTTAAAGATAATGTCTCCTCTATGTTGGTATACACATCTGATTGGATATCTCCTATCATTCTTGTCCTGATCTGCTTTGGGTGTGGATGTCTGTGCCTGTGTTTTGGGGTCCTCACAAGGGTATGAACTCCTTGAAATCAAGAATGTTTTTGGTTCAGTTTTGATTCCTTCTTTATCATATTACTATACACAGAATGAACTTTAAAATGTTTATTAACTTTAAATGAATTTGCAACACACTTATTTTGTTATTTTATTATCTATTCACTACTTGTTTAGTTTTCCCAGTAATTTAAGTTTGAGCTGAACAGGAAGAAAGGGTACTACATGGAACACATGCTAGAATCAATAAGTAGGAGAAAGAAGCAAGGAGGCAAGACAGAATGGAGGGAAAAATGTAATTAATGTGTAGGGGAGATGGGAGGAAGCTGTTGAGTGAACATGATTTTATGTTAACTTCCTGCTCTTCACAGTACTGAAGCTTATGCATATCTGAACCACGCAAACTGAGAGCATGAGTCCAGTATAAACAATTTTATGTTACCTCAGCACTTTGGTTTCCCTTTCTCTCCAAGTCATTTTCATTTGGTGATAAAAGAACTCATATTAAGTTTCAAGGGCAATTGTCACTTACCCAATGGTCTTGGTTTACCAAAAATGCCACTCTAGAATTCTGACCTCTTTATTTCTGGAATTTAGGAGCATGTTGCTGAAAATATACAGATAGAGATGAAAACTATGATATGCAGGAGACTGCCAGAAACTTTTGCATAGTGCAATGTTAAGTTAGTGCTAAAACGGCAAGGAGACCACATCTTCTGACCTTCTCTAACTGCACAAGAGGAAGACAGAATCACTATCAGTAGCCCAAAGCCCATTCCTGGGAGGTCAGACATGCTGCCTCCCTCCAGCCCTTATACCACCCATTCCTCCTGGAGCACCCAAAGCCTATCTGCCAGGTTCAATAATAATTCACTGCAGTAGCCACACAGAATTCACAGATTATGGGGCTTATTAGAGAAGCACCAGGGTACAATTCAAGTTCAGGAACAACACTCAGTCTCTCCCAGTCCGCCATCTTTCAGCCAATAGTCTATCTCCCGGAAGTGCATATCCCTTGGTGTCTCACTCAGCAATATGTGTCTCTTGTATCTCTTTCCCAGCAGTGCGTGTCTCTCGAGAGCATGTGTCTCTTTCAGCAGCACGTCCTTCTCAGCCAGTAGTCAGAGAGACTTCCGGCTCTAGGAGGCCTCCTTTTGAGCCTGGCAGAGTGGCCACACTAGCCAATCATAACATCAGAACTCTAAGCACCTGAAAGAGAGCGAACTTCCCAGAACATTGCTTTGTGCCACTCTCAACAGAAATACCTCAGGTGGATAACTTTTACAATCAGAAGCTCCTCAGTTGCTTGCAGCAAATTCCACCACAGTTTACAAAAACGTATGGCTAGAAAAGCCATACCAGGTAATTTACTACACCGCAGTTAGTAATTATAAATTATTGTGCAGTTATTTCATTATTAATAACATATAAATCATCATCATATTATTGTTTTTATTACCATTATCATTATCATTAATGATAATGGGAGCAATATTAGCTCTCCAGAATCATGCTGATTTTCATGTTAATGAAGTTATCTAACTCACCACTCATGAATCATTATCGATTACCAATCTTTCATAATGCAATAGCATTACTGCAATGCTGCATTCACATTCAACATGATTGGAAACAAAGAAAATAAAACCTGTTAGTCAGCCTTTTTTTTTTTTTTTCATGACAAGATCCAATGTCAGAAGAAAGATAAAAGATGTCAACCTCTTCTTCAAACCAAACCAACATCTGAGACATCTGGTACACCATGATTGAGATCTCATGGCAGGAAGATGTACACACATGGATCTCCATCCCCATCTGTTCAATGTACAAAGTAGCTGTTATAGTCAACTTCCTGTTACTATTCCTGATCTTCACTGATCACAGTCTTCAAGAGTTCATGTAACACTTTCCTATCCATATCCACCCTGGCAGATAGCTTTCTCTCTATAGTCACCACATGAAAGTTGCTAGTCATCTTCTGTTTCTGAGCTGGGAATTTCCTTCAGTAGCTCTGTCTCCTAGGTGTTTTTCCTCTACTTCATCTTTGTGCCAGAGTCTGTCATATTGCTCACTATTACATTTGATCATGTGGCCATCAGTTTTCTCTTAAGACACGCTACAATTCTAACCCCTTCAGTCATTAAAAAATGGGTATTGTTTCTGTGATTAGGATTAGTCCCTCTACTCCCCCTTGATTTTTCTGAATTATCAGCTTACTTACTCTGGAAAGAACACTAATAATCACTTATATTGTTAACATATGGGCACTGTAGTCTGGGCTGTGACAGCATCAAGGTTAACGTCTACTATGGAATGACTGTGGCCTTCTTCTTCACATGCCTGGACATGGTGTTCAAAGTCATCTCCTACTCCCTTATACTCTGTACCATGTTTAGTTTTCCATACTGAGATGCTTGAATCAGAGTTCTGGGTACATGCTGCTGCCATGTCTGCATCTTCTTGTTCTATATCCCAGGTTTTTTTTTTTTCTTCTTTGCTCACTGATTTGGGAGCCACAACCTACAACTCCATGTACATATCCTACTTGCCAGCTTTTATGGACTGGTACAACTCACCCTCAATCTCATCATATATAGAGTTAAGAATAATTAAATTCAGGAGAGGGTTATCTAACTC